AAAAGCTTATCATCTTTATTGCTATACAAATAAATATCAGAATTCAATCCATATAGTTAGTATAAAAGCATAAGTTATATATAAATACCATAAATCATTTTCCCGCGATCACACGGGGGCTCTATGTCGCATGCATAAATCTCAGTCAACGATCGGATTCACAAAACCGTGACAATCGACAAAAAAAAAACTATGCTAGCGCTAGAAGATATGCCTCAAAGAGGCGCCCCTGAAGGGCCAGATTTCACATGTTCCGACGACGAGGCTGATGCGGGATATTATTACGATCTAAATAGCGGGAAAAAAACCTACAAAAGCTCATATATAGGATGTTTTGCATGATTTATACCGTGTTATATGTAACTAATAATTTTAACATGTGTTAACACTCAATTATGAATCACGAAATAAATTTTTTCCGCATATACAAATGTCTAAAAAATTAAGAACAGGTGCTACATACTTATCACCCGAAGCAATTAGCGATATAATTACTGCTAAGGGTATAACAAATGCATTACCGATATTAGCTAATAAGTATTACACATCATATACACGAATTCGTGAAATATGGGAATTTGCTATTGCGATAAATAATTAGTAAAGCTATATATAGATAAATCACAATCACAATCGGATTAACACTCAATTATTAACGAAAAAATTAGGCGCATTTATATGACAATGCTAACACGATTAAATTTTATTTCATAGATTGTGACAGCTTGTCACAACGTCACGTGAGCTTACAATGGATTATTATTACAGAGTAGTGAGGTTTTGGCTCTATTTTTTAAAATCGGCATAAATTACCGAAAGTTTGGCTAATACAAAATCAATGTCATCTTGGGATATATTTGCTATTGTTGTAGCAGTAAAAGACTGAATTCGTTTGATTTTTTCAACCCCGATCTCATTAAAAATATCATAAATCTTCTGGGCCCTTTCCTTTGTTTTTCGAAGTAAGCTTTCACTAACTGATTTGGAAATCTGAGCTCTAACATCATTATTAACTATCCCTTGAGCCGTACGTTTAGGATTGTTTTTTCTATATTGATCAAATCGCTCCTCGAGTGCTTTTCCAAAATAGAAATAGTGACGAATAACTTCTTGCGTCATTTTTTTACTAATTTCTTCAGTATTGATTATATTTTGGTACAAAGCTAAAAAATTGATTGAGTTCTCATTCGATTCAGATATTGGTTCAGTTGACATAGTTTTCTCTGGAACATTAGTTCCCAATTCTTTGATTAGTCTTTGTAACGTAGGAGAATCTTCCTTTAATACTTGCTTCTTCACTTTCTTGCTAGATGATTTGCTGATAGATTCACTAACACGCTTTTTAGACAGACTTGAGAAGAGGGTTCAGTAAATAATGACAGGGATATATTCATCAAATCGTTAATATTCTGACTTCCAGGTATGCTGTCAACCGTAGATTCTACCTCCTTCTTGCAATCGGACTTTGGGTACATTGAACGTTTCTTAATAAAAGTTTCGATACAATCACGATAATATATATGGTCACAGACCAGTATGGTAATTGAGTTTTTTATTTCAAACAAAAAAAGTTCTTGATTGCATAACGAGCACGGGTCCAGTTCGGAAATATTAATATTGCTTGCAATTTTTTCCGGGGATGAATCCTTAAGAATATTTAAGGCAAAAGTTTCGAGACATGAAATATTGATAGACATAACTCATATAAGTTTCTGAAAACACCTATCTTTTCTCACCTCATATCACCTATATACCTGCTCACATATCGCTCGAAAATTACCTCAACTCAAATTGGAATTATATCCAAAAAGGCATAAGGAAAGATATGGTTTTTATGTGTCAAAGACACTAGCTCCGCTATTATAGCAGAATCAATATATAGGAAAGTTGAATTTAGGATTGGCGAAAAATATTAAAATTAATAAAAAATATCGAATCAGAGTATATGTGAGAAATTAGGTCACACAAAAACATGTGGACATGTGCGGATCTAACCTGTAAAGTGCTTATTCCTCTGCACCCACATTATCTCAAACATATGCTTCGATCACGGGTAATGGAAATGTAATACGTAAAAATAGTTAATCTAAGTCGTACTTTATATGTCGATTAATAAACTTACCAGAAGATTAATTTATTTCTTGTGGTATTTTCACTTTTTTTACAACTGTGACCTTACATACACCTTCCGGACCTGAATTGGAGGAATAAGAAGTGCTTGTATCAGAAGTGTCAGTATTCGAATCTGTGAAATACTTGACTCCACCTTTCTTGCTCTTATTTTGACGTGAGCGAGAATTAGAAGGACCTGACTCATTATTATTTAGCTGTACCAATTCTTCTATCTTTTCACATCTCAGTTCATTTTCAATATTAGAAAGTCTTTTAAAAATCCCATAATATGTATCATTTTCTATAGAATGAACTGACTTCCAAATATTATTGAGGTGCGTTTTTAATGAAAGCTTTTCACACCCATCGCCTAAATCTACTTTAGGATATTTCTTATTCTTGCTAACTCTTCTATGTGTTGGAGATACAGAAGGTATGTTGCCATGATACCTCTTTCATTGCTTATTATCTTCGCTTCTGAGAGATAAATTCTCGAACATATTCGTGAGTTCCTTCAATAATAGATCGGGCCCAGGTGAGATATTTTTAGTAGTGCTGGCTTTGTTAAAATCTTTATCGATTAATGGGATGCTTATACCTTCTATTATAATTTTAGTACGGTGTTCACAGGTTTCGGAAGAAAATCCAAAGCTTATTTTTGCTTTATGCATTCATAACCATTCCCGTCCTAGCACCAAATCAAACGATGGATTTTTGCGAATTTGAAAGTCTATTACTTCGGTGACATCTAAGCTTCGCCACTTTCCATTATAGCAAAATTATAGATCTAAGCATTTTATTTCTTCGCCTATCAAATTATCACCAGATACGCCTTTCAACCCATAATCTTCTTCAAGCTTATCGAACAACCTTTTACTAATGGTATTAAATTTCGAAGATGTATTAATTAACGCTTTGACTGGGGTTTTTCCTTCTACAAGAGAATCAACGAACATGTTAAGTATATTTAATAATGTATATTATCACAAAAAAATAACTAATAACTTGATAAATAATTATACATTCTCTAAGCTAACCGAAAAAATAAATATGGCAGCTGCGTAGGCTGACTTACTTTCTTACATTAGGTAAATATAATTTATTAAACGAAAAATTAGTCACATGTCATCGCTCCCTCGAGGTTTATTATATCACATATCCAGTTCAGCCCGTTGATAATATCGATCTTTGGCTTGCTTCATAAATGATCCATTGGGTTGATAAAGCCACTTAATTATTACATTTTGGATGATTTTAGCTGAATCTATTCGTCTTCGATGCCATGAACGAAATATCTGCTGAATAGTTAATACTGTTTGTTTTCTGGAACACGGATAACAATATTGATGATATCTTAATTGAGTATCAACTGAAAATCTATACGTACGTCGGCATTTAATATATCGTCTGTACGGATTTTTTGGAGATATATATTTTCTTAACACATTATGATCCTTTAGAAATTGTTCAAGGAAATTTTGGCTATAGTCTGTCATTATATTGAATATATCAAACATGTGTATTTTTTTTAACTTAGACTTTTTATTTAATAGATAATCAATGGAGCTAACTGAAAAAAATATATATAGCAGATGGGTAGGTCGACTTGCTTTCCCTACATTTGATAAATAAAAAATCTCAGAATGAAATTAATAGAATTAGCACATGGTTTAGTTATGTGAGAGTACGTGTGTGGATTTCACTAACGCCTCTCGATAATTAATTACAGATTGAATTTTTATTCACTATATATATTTACTCAATTATTACTTAACATGTCAACCTCTAGTAATACCGAAATTTATAAACAAATCGATGAATATAAAGAAAAGCTAGTTGCAAAAGGAATGTA